CTTCAAGACGGGCAAGATAGAGGAATATCATTGGCATCCCGAATACGCAGGAACCTGAACGGGCCCGCGCCGAAGATCCTCGTGCTCAAGGTCCTCAATTGCCGCGACGGCCACCCGTGGGGTGGGTTGAAATTGCTCCCTATTGCAATGCTGGTCATAATGGCCCATGCCGGTTGGCACACTACGCTCTGCCCAATGACGGCGGTGACAAAGTCACCGTCCACCCCCGTCTAGGTGTGGATGCATGACTTCCCTCCATCCGCTGCTTCCTCCGTGGTACTCCTCCACCGTCGGTATCGAAGCCGACTTTCCGGTTTGGTCAAAGACGAAATCTTTAAAAGTAGAGAAAAATAAAAATAAATAAATAAAAATTTTAAAATTAATAAAATAGGGAACTGAGGAATGCGGGAACTCATTAACACCCTTTTTGTCTCATCAGTCGGACCAAGGTCCGGGCCTGTCTGACAAAGCCAAGGGGGATAGTCCCTCAAGACCCTCGACGCCTCGGTCCCCGCAGGTCACGCTCCTTCGCTCCTTAATCATTCGCTGACCTCGAATCCCAAACATGTCGTTTGAAAGTCCAGTACCATAACCATTAGAACTAGGCCAAAGGCTGAGCTAGGTAGGCGTGAGCCTGCGTATGAATAGTCATGGGACTGTGATTGGTCCTGCCCGCACAAACCAGGCCTTCGCCTTGGCCTATCGGCCAACCTCCTAGCCGTCAAAATGCGTCACCCGCGCCTAGGTTTGTGGTTACCTAGTATCCAGGCCGTCGGGCGCATGACATACTTTGTCGAACTTCCAGACTTTCCCCCAGACTAGGTCTGCCAACGTCACGCCTTTCGACGCGTTGTCCAACATAAACTTCCCGTCTGTGGGCAAGGTGAAGTTTTTATCCTCTTCGCGCCGTGTCCCGCCAGAGGCTGAACTAGTTGCGAAGTAAATATAGTCTTTATAAGTTGAAAAAAAAAAAAAATATATATATATATATATATATATATATATAATCAACAATAAAAATTACAGAAGGGAGAGTAACCGGGCCCTACGGCTTTGGCGCCATTTCGCCAGCCTAGTATTGCCGATGACTAACTGCTATCTCACTATGCAACGTAATAATGCGTGCCCCACACACTTTCTAATCTGGCCATATTCGACTCGAAGTCTCGCGAGGCTTGTCGAGGTGAGCGCCCTGACGGGGTTTGCCCCATCAACGCATTACATTTGTCAAGGACGCACCTAGTGCGATCTTTAAAAAGGACGGCAAATACCGCTGTAAGGATGTTTGTTACGACAACGTTGTCAAAATGGAGGGATAGGTGCGGGGCGGTGCCAATTCATTAACGACTTTTGAGAGAAATGCAGTTGTGTCGACCGTCGCCATTTGTTATCTTATTGACAGAATGACAACTCGCCTAAAGATGAGATTGTCCATTCGGAGGCAGAGGCAACTCATGCAATAAGTGATGGAGGCATCCGATTGTGTGTTGGCATTAGAATCCATTATGCATTTCTGCTGCGCCATGGCGTCAGGTCTGATCCCGTGGGCGACTCCGAGGTGGTGGATGAGGAGAAGGACGGGAGGGACATGGGAGGATCTCCAGAAGATTGACGACGTGGCGGAGGGCTACTATAAGGAGAAGTTGCGGATGTCCCGTAGTGTTCTGGGAGATCGTCGAGGCGTTGTCCCCTCATCTGCAGCGGAGGGCGACATTCTACAAGGTGCCTTTGATGTCGGATCACATCATCGCATACGAGCTTTATCGTTGGGCAAGCAGGGAGACGCATGAGAGCAGCATGTCGTCATTCGATATAGGACGCACATCTGGATTGATTGCAGTGGAGGACGTGACTCGGGCGCTTCTGAGGGTGTACCGAGAGAAGGTCGTTTGGCCTTTGGGGTTGCGGCGGCTGGTCGTTCTGCGCGCGTTTGAGGCGAAGGGTTTCCCCAACTGCTATGGCTGCATAGACTACACTGACATCTACGTGGACAAACCAGCAAACGCGCCATCCAAGAACTACTTCGACCAAAAGCATTGTTTTTCAGTGGTTGCGCAAGTGGTTGTGGACTTGGACTTACATGTGACAGACGTTTTCGCCGGCTATCACGGGAGCTGCCACAACATCCGGGTGCTTCAACTTTTTAGTCTGTGAACGTGCACTGAGGAGGGGGATCTTTTCCGTGGACCTGCTGTGCTGCTGTCGTTCGGGGTGAAGACAGACGGGTACATCCTCAACGATACCGACTATCCTCCCATGGAGTGGATCGTCTTGCCTTATGGAGGGACCGCCTTATGGAGGGACCGATCAAATCGTTGACGAGGAAAGGTTTGACAACAAGTAGAAGATCGCCAGAGGAGTGGTGGAGAGAGCTTTCGGAAGGGTGAAGGGGATGTGGAGGTTTTTCCTCCGCACACATAAAACGAATATGGACACTCTCCCGCAACAGTTCGAAGCCGTGTGCATTCTGCACAACATCCTGGATGCCGGCATAGACTTCGACGAGAACTTGTTGTGGGAGGTGGGCGCGAATGGTGTGCGTCGGCGAGTGGAGTGCGTCGGCGAGTGGACTTGGTGTTGGATCACCAACCCCGCCCCATTGCGGATAACTTCAATCGGTTCCGGCCGCTGGCTTTGCGCGAAGCACTTGTGGAGTGCATGCAACACGAGTGAAAGCGCAAAGTCTCTCCACGGTGGTAACTTGGTTGTTGATGTCTTGCGGAGGACGGACGTGGTGATGTTCAGGATTGGAGGGGTGTTGAAGAACTCGGGTGGCAGTGTCGAGTAGTTCCGTCGCTGGCCGTCTCCGTGCAATTTCCCCCCCCCCCTTTCTTGTTGTTAGTTTTCGTCTGTTGTCGAACATTTGAAGAGCGATGGAGGGAGTGCTCCATCACCAATTTTATGAAGATGGCTCTATGGCCTTTATTGTGTGTTTTGAACCTGTCCAACTCTTTCTTTCGCCCTCCTTCAACAACCATCTGGGCGGGTTACGGTTTGAAGTTCTCTTGTGGTAAACGCATTTAATAAAACAATGATAAAAATCGTTTCTAATTAGCTTCTGATCCGACAGTGCATAAACTGGACAATTTTGTTCAGAAATGCGGATCCCACAACTTTCCGATGTAGGAGGGTGCGGCGCTTTGTTAGGGGTACGTTTTCGGGTTTTGTGTACGTGACGGACGGCCCAACGGCGCTACACAAAATAGAAAGCTCGAGGACCCCTATCCCTACCGAAAAAGCTGCTGCAAAAATGAGTCGGCCTTTTCGATGTCCGCCCGTGGTCGCGTGGTCTGTTGGTGGAGCACAGGACCGTGCGACGTGTGCGGGGTGCTTTCCCGATAGTGCGACATCCTGGGGCCAGGTTCCACTCTTTCCTGTCCGTTGGCAGATGCCGTGTCACCCACTTTGGGAGGCCCGGCCATACGGTGGTCCACAGGAACGTCCGTTACCGTGGAAGGCCAAAAAATCCCCCCGCAATACTTGGGAAAGGCCCTTGGATTGCGTTCATGTGGGCTCCGAGTTTGCTTTTCCGCCCCGTTCTTCCCGTTGCCTTCTTTTTAGGGACTTTCTTGTTTTTTCTGTTTTTGTGTATTGTCGTATCAGCGCCATAAAGAAATGGAGTGGGACCCAGGCTCGGCAAACTCGGAGCGCAGTGAAATTCAGGGTCGGCAAAAACAGGCTCGGAGAAACCTTGGATGTGTGTCTGCTCGGACTCTCACCCAAGACATGTTTTCTGGACTGACTGTTGCTCCGAATACAGGCAGAATGACTGTACTCTTTTTTTTTATTAGGGGAAGACGGTAGTGGGACTTGGCCCCCGGTCGCCTTTTTACTTCTGTCATTCTCGGTGAATCTGGACTGATAGTTACTCCAAATACAGGCAGAATTACCGTACGTTTTATTGGGGAGAAGACGGTAGTGGGACTTGGCCCCGGGGGCTCTTTCGTACTTCTAACGGAAGGACGGTGTTCAAATTTTGAAGTGCGAAGCTGCGCAGCAAAAGAACGGCGGAAGATGAAGGAAGGGAAACGTCAAAAGAAGGGTCCCAAAATTTCTGCCCGCGTCCCCTTTTTTTTTGTTTTGGCGCCATCTTCATTTTGGCGGCCAAACCATTTTTCGTTTTGGCGGCGGCGGGCGCTTTTCGTGTTGGCGCCAGCGTCGAAAATCGAGAAGTACAGGGCCTCACTCCACTACAAAACAAAACACTCAACATGCACTTGGACGCTTTCCGGTACCGATACATTTACAGTGTTTAGTTTGTCCGAATGCATGTGGTCTGTAAAACGTCCAAATGCTTGTACAGTGTGGTCTAGTGGAGGGAAGCCGACATTGCCTTCCGCCGAACGTGATGGTCAGGAAAGGAAAACAGGAAAAAAAAAGGGGAAAAACCGAAAATACAGGCCTTCTGTGTCGATTAGGGCCGATTTGCACTACTGGCTATCAATGCATCTGGACAAATAAGAGTCCAGGTACATTCAAAATTTTGGCGGATGGCGAGTAGTGCAACTACGACCGGTAGGCCCTTTGGGTGGGTGGCTTGTCTGTTTTGCCCTCCTTCCCTCACTGGGATCAGATCAGCCCGTTGA